CTGTCGCTGCGGGATGCAGCTGTGCGTTGGCGCTGGCAAAGGTGCTGGTGCACACGCTACTCGTGAAGTTGCAAGCCAGGTTCCCCGCGGTGAGTATCCAAAATCTCGTGGACGATTTTTTGCTCCAGGCGCTCGGCACTGCTGAGCAGGTTCTTTCCCAGTTTCCTGAGGCCATGATGGCCTTGGTCCGAGGGCTCCAGGAGAAACAGCTGCGGGTCAACTGGGACAAGACTGGTTATTTAACATCCTCTGCAGAGCTGGCAGCACAGCTCAACGCTAGGTGGTCTCTCGGCGATGAGGATCGACTCATCGGGACCAGGTGCTTGGGCACCGACGCTAATGACGGATCGGCTCGGAGGGTGGGGGATCAAGACAAGCGAATCGCCAATGCCAAGAGAGTCTCGGCGAGAGTTCAACAGCTCAGGGCAGCAGGCGCTGCTGTCAGCACTATCCAGAGGGGGTCTCCTACGGCGACGGCGGTGTGGGGGAGTGCGGTCACTGGTCTGTCAGACCACAAGTTACATGGGTTGAGAGTGTCGGCCCCCCATGCGGAGGGCCGCCTCCCTGCAGGCACCTCGGTAGGCCTTCGATTGCGCGTGTCCCCCAGAGGCTCCTTCAGGGACCCTTGGGTTGTGCATGCTGTGGAAGTTGCGAAGCATTGGGCTCTTTCGGCCCTCTCAGAGCTCCCAGGGCGTGGCCCCATGCAGGGATGCTGGGAGGCTGGTAAGGACCTCCTTGGCAAAGCCAAGCCCTGGGCGCACTGTATCGATCCCAGTCAGGTTGTGCTGCTTTGCATGGCGCGCATTGGCATTGCTATGCCCACGGCCTTCTCCTTGGACTTCCAGGGCCTCGAGTTTTCCATGCTGGAATTCACGCCAGGTTTCATAGCGGAGCGTGCGAAGGAAGCTGCGCTGATTTCCTCAGACGTTCTTGCTCTGGCTAGGATTGAGAAGGGGTGGCGGGGGGCTCTGCGTTGGGGGCCTCTTCATCACCTCCTCGCTCGCAGTGTCACGGACACCTGGACGCCGCATCACAAGGCGGCGCTGAGGAGCTTGGTGGGTGGACCCCACTGGCCACAAGCGCGGCTCTTTAGGCGTGGCAAGGCCCAGCATGGTCGATGCCTGATTTGCGGGGGCCAGGGCACCTTGTTTCATCGGTTTTACGAGTGCCCGTGCATCGAGGCTCACAGGCGTGATGAATGCCCGCCACACGTGCGGGCAGCTGCCAGAAAAGTGAGCTCCCTGGCTCCAGAGGTGGTGGACATGTTTGCTCGTTGTCTGTTCCCGTCGCCAGCCCGTTGCTTTCCTATCCAGGAGGCCAACCTGGAGGACCAGTTGATCTGGATTGGGGTCCCCGAGGGCTGGAAGTTTTCGGGGGAAGTTTTTGTTGACGACAGCGCGTTCAACTCTCGTTTCTCTGGACTCTCTCGTGCGGGGTGGTCCATTGTCCAGATTAATGAGAGCGGATGCCTGGTGGCAGGCGCCTTTGGAGTCGTCCCTCTCAGCTACGCGCCCAACCAAATGGCGCGAGACGGAGAGAACAGAGCCTTCCAAGTCTTGGCTGAATACTCGGAGTGGAATGCTGAAGATCCCCTCACTGTTTACTCAGACTGTGCGGGGTCGATTGAGTGCGCGGTGAATCCAGGCATGGCGCTCGACCCCATGACTTCTAGAGGGCACTTTTGGGCCCGCTGGTGGGAGGGGATCGGCCACCAAGCGACAGTTGTCAAGGTCAAGGCGCATCGCGCTCGCTCCTCGGCCACCAGCTTTGAAGATGACTGGCTGTCCCTCGGCAATCAGATGGCGGGCCGCTGGGCGAGAAAAAAAGTGTCTTAAGGTGGTCCCCCCCCCCCCCACCCCACCCCCACAGCAGTGTGCCTTTGTACATGGGGGTCGAGGCCATGGCCCACGACGTCTCGAGACGGCATGGGAGGGCCCAACAGTTGTTGGTTGATGGGGGCTTCGTTGACTCCGAAGGGGTTGTTGGGACCTCGGAAATCACCTTCGAGCTCAGCCCTTTCGAGTGGGAGTGCCTGGCCAATGCGGCTTGTGAGGAAGGGGTGGCATTTTGCGGCTGTCCCAGGCGTGGTTCCTGTCAGGGGAGCGGCGTCCTCGGCCTCCTTGCCGCCTCCTCAGCCGCCGCCGCCCCCTCGTGCCTCCCCTTCTGCTGCCGCTGCGGGCGGGGAGGAGGGCCCTGATCTCCAGGAGTGCTCTGGGGCGCCATGGGCGCTCAATAGTCACTCGGTTGTTAAGGCGTCGGTCGTGCCCCTGGCCGAAGGGGCAGAGCCCGAGCCAGATGTTTTATTTTGTAAAGTTTGTGGGTCCTCGGTGCGCAGGATTGTTCGGTCGGGCGAGGGGCTGGACGGGGTGTGTCGTGGGAGGGGGGCCCCTGGTCTGCGGACTCAGCGTTCCCTTCTCCGCCGAGGGCTCATGCCAGGACGCCTCAAGGCGCGGATCACGGACGTCCGCGCCCCCGCAGGCGACGATGTCGAGGCCTGGGCCTCCCGCTTCCCCTCCCTCGCTGGAGGCGCGCGGGGGCAGGAGGCAGGCAGTGGGGACGTTCAGTCGATCTGTGCTCCGACGGCCTTCGGGGCCAGGTACGGCACCAACGTGCCGCAGCTTGACGATAGGCAGGTCGCCCTGTTGCACGGTTTTGATTCCCCCTCGGCCGTGGTGGAATTCTCCAGGTCCCTGGGCAGGGGGGAGCCCGAGTTTTTCGAGGAGCCTGCCGAGTGGTAGGCCTGACGCTCTGCGGAGAGGGGGCCCTGCCCCGTGTAGTCAGCACACTCAGCACACCCTCCTCCTCCCTCTCCTCCTTCTCCTGCTCGTCGTCGTCCTCCTCCTCCTCCTCCTGCTCCTTCTCCTCTTCCTCCTGCTCCTCCTCCTTCTCCTTCTTTTCCTCCTCCTCCTGCTCGTCCTCCTCCTCCTCGTCCTCCTCCTCCCCCTCCTGCGCCTCCTCCTCCCCCTCCTCCTCCTTCGCCTCCTCCTGCTCGTCCTTCTCCTCTTCCTCCTCCTCCTTCCTCCGCGTCCTCCTCCTTCCTCCTCCGCCTCCTCCTCCTCCTCCTACTCCTCCTCCTCCTCCTCCTCCTCCTCCTCCTCTGCTCGTCCTCCTCCTCCTCCTCCTCCTCCTCCTCCTCCTCCTACTCGTCCTCCTCTTCCTCCTCCTCCTCCACCACCTCCTTCCCCCTCCAACTTATTGAATCGTTTCGCTCATTCCGCCGGCCCGTGATATGGCATCGCTGGTTTTTGTCTGTGTGTTCGTTGCCCATGTTGCGCTCTTGGGGGCGGGTGTCGTTCGGACGCGTTGCGTGGGGAGTTTTGATGGTGAAGCAGTTCCCTGGGGGTCGTCTCTCGATGGGGCGAATAGAGTCGTCGTCAAGATGCTTCTTTGGGGGGCCTCTTGGGGTCTGTTGAGAGGCCGTTCGGGGGCGCCTGGGAGACATGTTTGAAGCCTTCTGGGGCTTCTTTTGGGCCTCCTGGGAGTCTCCTGGGGCCTCTTGGCGACATCTTGGGGCCTCTTGGAGGCCTCTTGGGGCCTCTTTGGGACCTCCTGGGCGCCTTCTGGGACGGAGGGCTCCATTTTTGAGTTCTCGGTATCCCTCCTGAGTCCCTCTTGGGCCCGTCTTGGGGCCTCTTGGTCCGTCTTGGGCGGCACTTGGGCCGTCTTGAGGGCTCTCTTGGGTCGTTTCGGCGCCGTCTTGGGAGCTTCGTGGGCCGTCTTGGAACGGTCTTGGGGGCCTCTTGGGCCGTCTTGGAGCGTCCGGAAGCCGAAAAAGCCAGAACACAAAAAACATCGAAAAAACCAATGAAAATCAACGATGTTGGCCTCTTGGGGCTCTCTTCGGAGGCCTCTTGGAAGGCTCTTGGGGCGTCTTGGAGGCCTCTTGGGCTGTCTTGGGGTCCTTTTGGGCCGTCTTGGGGTCATCTTCGGCGTCTTCGAGCGCTCTTTGGGCGTCTCGGGGGCCTCTTGGGCAGTCTTGGGGGCCTCTTGGGGCACTCTGAGCGCGCTCTGGGGAGCCTGACAGGCCGCACCCAGAAGGAAAACCATCTCTGAGTAGACTTGGTCGGGCGGCGGTCGGGCGGCGGTCGGGCGGCGACCGGGCGCTGGTCGGGGTACTTTTCGCCGGGGGACCCCCAGGGGCCGCCCCGCGCGCGCGAATTAAAAATACGGTTAATACTGTTAGCCAGTTACCGGAGATCTTAGCACGCCCTGGCCCGTTGGGCCGGCGAATTGTGGTGGTGGTGGAAAACAGGGGCTCATCAGTCATCGCGCGTCTCGCGGTCCGGACCAGACCGGGACAGGCCGCCCTTTCCCCAGAGAGGACGGATCGCGAGGGCCCGCGCGGAGGGCCCGCGAGGGCTGCGCACGCAAGGGCGGGCCGCTCGCGAAGGTGGGCGGCCCTCAGAGCCTCTCTGGGCCGCTCGGCCCCGGGCCCGTGCCATCGCGCCTTCGAGCCTCGGAGCCCCCTCGACCCCATGGGGCTTTTGAGGCCCCCCCTCGGGCCTCGATCCCGGGCCCATCGCGCCTTCGAGCCTCGGAGCCCCCTCGACCCCATGGGGGTTTTGAGGCCCCCCCTCGGGCCTCGATCCCGGGCCCATCGCGCCTTCGAGCCTCGGAGCCCCCTCGACCCCATGGGGCTTCTGAGGCCCCCCTTGGGCCCATCGCGCCTTCGAGCCTCGGAGCCCCCTCGACCCCATGGGGCTTCTGAGGCCCCCCCCCTCGGCCCTCATCGCTCCTCCGAGCCTCTCTGCGCCCCTCGACCACCGAGGGCCTCGCGCCGCTCTCTGCGGGCCTCTGCGCCCAGATAAGCTCTCGCGCGCTCGTCTTCTGCGGAGGCCCCTCGAGCTTTGCTTCTCGAGCCTCCTCCTCGTCGTCCTCCTCCTCCTCCTCCTCGTCCTCCTCGTCCTCGTCCTCCTCTCCTCGTCCTCCTCCTCCTCCTCCTCCTCCTCCTCCTCCTCCTCCTCCTCCTCCTCCTCCTCCTCCTCTTGTGCCGCCTGGAGGCACACCTTCTGCACCAGCCTCGCGGTGTTCGGCGGCGAGTGGCTAGGCTTCCCGCGGGGGTCCGCGCGTGCCCCTCGCGGCCTCCGGGGGGGCACCCCCGCCTCTACCTCTTTCTGGGCCTCCTGGGCGGGGTCGGAGTAGACGGGGTCGAAGGATGCGCCGCATCGCCGATGCGTCGCCGATGCGGCTCTACGTGGAGCCCGATTTGCTTCACGTCGACGTCGCCCACGCATCGCCCACGTCGACGAGGCATCGCTGGTGCATCGCCGACGCATCGTCGATACATCGCCGATGCACCGGCGATGCGGCGCGATCCTCCGACCACATCTGCTCCGACCCCATCTAGGAGGGCTCTGTCTGACTCTTGGGCTCGCGGGCGTGCGCGGTCCAGATTTGTGGACGACGACCGACGGAGAGGAAGCGTGTTGCCAAACACTGTCCAGGTGTGGAAATCACACCAGAGAAAACCGCCAATCAGCGGATGGTCTAAAAAGGGATCGATAAGGAGATCGACTGGGAACCCGGGAGCCCGGGAACCCGGAACCACCGAAATCGGCCCGGAACCAACAACTAGGAACCCGGGAACCCAGAACCAGGAACCCAGGAACCCAGGAACCCAATTGGGTACCAAAATCGGCAACATGTTGGCAAAATGTTTCAATTTCCGATAGGACCCGTTTAGTGCAAGCATTGGATTGGGGAACGATGTATAGAAATGTCTTAAACATGTAAATGCAAACGTGTTTGAACATCTTAGAACATTTGCCCGACATTTCAAACACGCGTTTTACTCAATGGTAGGACTGTTGGGGTGTCCATTGTCGCGGCATCCACAAGTCCAGATGGGTACGGAAAGGGCGGGGACGAAGGCCGACAGCAGTGCCTGCCCATTCTGAGCGGGGCTCGCTGTCGGTGGCGCCGCGGGCGCTGTCCGCTCGCGACGAGCAGTCGCCTGCCCAACGGCGGCCGCTGCCGCTTTTGGGCAACAGCTGTTGTTGGGCATCGTGCCCGCCTCTTCCGTGCACGCCCGTTCCTCTTCAGGGGGCGGCGGAAACCCAATCTATTTTCAACGCCTTCTTACTCCATGGTTTTACAGTCGGACCGAGGTACAAGATCGAAGTCGGTTTGGGGAAGGTGCCCCAGTGTTCTTCGTGTGTGTTGGATGTTTTTGTGCACCCTGGGGAGGGTACCCTCGGCTGTTCTGTGCGTTTTGGCCGGCGGAGGGCCTCGTGTCCTTGAGGGATGCTCTTCTGGCCCAGGTCCGACTGCACTTCCAGCGCCTTCCTACTCCATGGTTTTGCCCACTTCTTCCGACGTCGTCGTCGTCGTCGCTGCCGTCGTTGTCGTCGTCGTCGTCGTCTTCGTCGTCGTCGTCGTCGTCGTCACCGCCGTCGTCGTCGTCGTCGTCGTCGTCGCCGCCGTCGTCGCCGCCGCCGTCGTCGTCGCCGCCGCCGTCGTCGTCGTCGTCGTCGTCGCCGTCGTCGCCGTCGCCGTCGCCGTCGCCGTCGCCGTCGTCGTCGCCGTCGGGTGTGCCAAAGGGGGGCTCTTCGCCGGAGGCTGTCGGGCGCTGCTGCCAACTCTGCCGCTGCGCTGCGCGGCTGCGCGTCCAGGGGCTGCGCCGCGCCGTCGGCGCCCCTGGGGGGTGCCCCGGGGCGCTCCGGGCGGTCGCCCACCGCCCCGGGGCGGGGCCAGGAGGCGAGAGGAAGGGGGGCGAGAGGGCTTCTCCTCCTCCTCCTCCTCCTCTTCCTCCTCCTCTTCCTCTTCCTCCTCGTCCTCGTCCTCCTCCTCCTCCTCCATTCCGTTCCCTTATGACAAACTCTCATTGTCTCACCCTGGGGCCAGTCGGAAGGGCGGGCCATGCGTTTCGCCTGCGACTCCTTTATCATTTATGAGCCTGATGTTTCAAAACTTGGCAACCGCTTCACAGATGGAGGGCGGGTTGTTTTCAACATACGGCTCTCGCTTTAGCGCCGCGCACATTCGTTTCAAACATTTGCAAGAGTCGCACGGACTCAGGGCGGGTCGTTTTCAACATGTGGATCTCACCTCAGCGCTGCGCACATTCGTTTTTCAAGTTTGCAAGAGTTCACGGACTGAGGACAGATAGACTTTAACATGTGGTTCTCTCCCGAGCGCCGCGCACGCTCGCTGAAAAAATGCAGGTGATTCACGGATTGAAGGCGGTTTTCAAAGGTATATTTCTTGTCTTAGCGTTGCGCACATTCGTTTCCAATAAGTGCAGGAGCTTCACGGATTGAGGGCGGCTCTTTTTTCAAAATATGGCTCTCACTTCGGCGCCGCGCACATTCGCTTCAAACATTTGCAATGCTCTTATTGGTTCTCATGGCTGATACACCAAAAATGGTGTCTTGGAATTGTTCAGGAAAGTCAGGCGCAACAGTTACGTTGATTCGTGGTGCGAAAGTCCCAGGACATTTTTTTCCTGGCACAATGCAGAATCGTCAAGACGCCACAGTCAGGTCAACTCGTGGCGTTGAAGTCCAGAGAATGGTGTTCTGGCAAGCTTCAGGAATGACACGTTTGTATCCCAGTGGGGCGTTCCCCCCAGTGGAAATCAACCCACGCAGGGGCCTATGAAGAGGGAGGGTGTATTCCAACATTGTTGATGGGTCTTGGGTTTGCGCTGGTCCTCTTCTTCCTCTCCTTCTTCCTCCTCCTCCTCCTCCTCCTCCCTATCGTCACCTCGCGCGTGGGGAGAGGGAGGGGAAGGGGGAGGGGGAGGGGAAGGAGGAGAGCAGTGGGAAAGAGGAGAACGAGGATGATGATGGTGAAGAAGAGCAGGAGGAGGACGAGGGCGGTGATGGTGATTAAGATGAATATGATGCTGGTTATGATAATGATTCCGATAATGGTGATGATGATGATGATGATGATGATGGTGGTGGTGATGATGATGCTGATGATGATGATGCTGATGGTTATGATGCTGATGCTGATGCAGATGATGGTGATGATCATGACGATGATGGTGATTGCGAGGATGATGATGATGCTGCTGACGACGATGATGATGATGATGACGATAATGATGATGGTGTTGGTGGTAATGCTAATGACGATGATGATGACGATGCTGATGATGATGCTGAGGACGATGGTGATGATGCTGCTGCTGCTGATGATGATGATGAGTATGCTTATGATGATGCTGGTGATGCTGATGGTGACGATGCTTATGACGATGCTGGTGTTGGTGGTGCTGCTGCTGCTGCTGATGATGTTTATGTTGGTGGTGAAATTGCTGATAATGATGCTGCTGATGTATATGAATGTGATGATGATGTATATGATTGTGATGATGGTGATGGTGATGATGATGGTGCTGATGATGGTGATGCTGATGATAATGCGGTTGTTGCTGCTGCTAGTGATGATGATGGTGATGCTGATGGTGCCGATGCTGATGGTGATGATGACGACGATGAAACTGATGGTGATGCTGATGAACATGCTGGTGCTGCTGCTGATGATGCTGATGCTGCTGCTGCTGCTGATGATGATGATGATGATGATGATGATGGTGATGATGATGATGATGATGCTGGTGATGATAATGCTGCTGCTGATGCTGCTGCTGATGCTGCTGCTGCTGATGATGACGATCATGATGATGGTGATGATGGGAATGGCGATGGGGATGGGGAGGAAGAGGAGGAGGAGGAGGAAGAGGGGGAGGATGAGGCCCTCCTCCACCTCCTCCTCCTCCTCCTCCCTCTCGTCCTCCTGGTCCTCCACCTCCTCCGCATCCTCCTCCGATCGTCGCCGAAGGTTCCTCCTCATCCTCATCAGCATCAGCATCGGCATCACCATCATCAACATCATCGACATCAACATCATCATCAACAGCATCTTCATCATCACCATCACCATCACCATCACAACCACCACCACCATCATCTCATCATCTACAACAATATCATGATCAGCAGCACCACCATCATCACCGTCACCACCACCATCACCATCACCATCACCTCACCATCACCATCACCATACATCACCATCACTATCACCATCACCATCAACATCACCATCAGGAGGATGAGGAGAAGGAGGAGGAGGAGGAGGAGTTGGAGGAGGACTTGGAGGAGGAGGAGGAGGGGGTGGAGGAGGAGGACGACGACGACAACGAGGAACAGGATGAGGAGGAGGGGGAGGAGGAGGAGGGGAGGGAAGGAGGAGAGGAGGAGGAGGGGGGGAGCAGGAGGAGGAGGAGGAGGAGGAGGAGGTCCTCACCCCCCCTTCCCCCTCACCCTCATCTTCTTCCTCCCCCCTCCACCTCCCCCTCCTTCACCTCTTCTCCTCTGTTTGTATTACCCGTCTCGAACCAGATAATGTCCTCGCCCGGGAGGCAAGCGGATCTCCCAGAAGTACGTGGCGACGGGGGGCGGGCCCGCCGCCCAGCGCGGCGGCCGCGCGTTCCTCCCTGCCTCGACCGGCGGGATGAGGATAAGGCGGAGGAGGAGGAGGAGGAGGAAGAGGAGGAGGAAGAGAAGGAGAAGGAGGAGGTGGACGAGGAGGGTGACAGGGAGGAGGAGGAGGAGGAGCAGGAGGAGGAGGAGGAGGAGGAGGAGAGAGACGAGGACGAGGAGGAGAACCAAGAAGAGAGGAGAGGAGGAAGGAGGAGGAGGAGGAGGAGAGGGAAGCGAAGGAGGAGGATGAGGACGACGAGGATGGATGAGGAGGAGAAAAAGAGAGGAGGAGCGAGGAGAGGAGGAAAAGGAGAGGAAAAAAGGAGGAGGAAAAGGAGGAGGAGGAGGAAAAGGAGGAGGAAAAGGAGGGGAGGAGGAAAGGAGGAGGAAAAGGAGGAGGAGGAGGAGGGAAAAGGAGGAGGAGGAAAAGAAGGAGGAGGACGAGGAAGAGGAGGAAGAGGAGGAGAGGAGGAGGAGAGGAGTTGGAGGAGGAGGAGGAGGAGGAGACGGAGGAGGAGGGAAAAAAGGAGGAAAAGGAGGAGGAGGAACAAAGGAGGAGGAGGAGGAGGAGAGAAAGGAGGAGAGGAGGAGGAGGAGGAGGAGGAGGCGGAGGAGTTGGAGGAGGAGGAGGAGGAGGAGGAGTTGGAGAAGAGAGGAGGAGGAGGAGGGAGGAGGAGGAGGAGGAGGAGGAGGAGAGGAGAGGAGGGAGGAGGAGGAGGGAGGAGGAGAGGAGGAGAAGGAGGACGATGAGAAGGTGGGCAACTGGGAGGAGGAGGAGGAGGAGGAGGGCGAGGAGGAGGAGGAGGAGGAAGACGAGGAAGACGAGGAAGACGAGGAGGATGACCAATGTAAACCCAGGGCTCATCACGATGTTGCGATAATCTCTTCCTCCAAGTTCCCTCCTTTGCAGGTCCCTACGAGAATGTTTGCTCATTGCGGGACGCGGCCCATTGGAAGACAACCGCTTGAGAATCCCCAATCGTGCCAAAGCGCAGTTTCTGTGATTTCAGTGGATCGCGAATCAACGTTACTGCTGCGTCCTGACACTCCGCAATCCGGCCTGCACACCCTTACCGTGACTTCCTCACAGCGACTCAACGTGCTTGGTGTGTCCTGACGATCCCAAGTCGTGCCAGGACGCGATCATTGGGACGTCGACCGCACACTTCCTTGAATCAGATGTAATGGTCTTAGAAGACGACCGCGCGCGGCGCCAAGGCCCTCTCAAAAGCTTCAGCTTCAGGGACGGAGGGCGGCTCCTCTTCGATGTGTGATTCTCGCCTTCGCGCCGAGTGCGCGAATTTTGCAGGTTTGCAGCAGTTTCACGGGTTAGCACCGTTGCAGTTCTAACGAACGGTGTTCTGGCGCACTTGGGATCTGCCCAGACGTACCACTCACGTTGGGATCTGTCTGGATGTAACGTTCACGCTGATTTACGGTGTTGAGACCCCAGGAACGGTGTTTTGAAGCGATCTGCGATCGTCCAGACGTAGCAGTCCCGTTGATTCGCGGCGTTTGATTCCCAGAAGCCGCGTTTTGGCGGCACGATTGGTGATTCTCAGACGGGTGTCTTTCAATTGGGCACTTCCGGCAATGAACACAGCTGTTGTAAGGACCTAGTGAGAGGGAAGTTGGAGGGAGGGTTGAGTGCAACATCGTTGATGCGTCTTGGACTTACACAGGTCCTCACCCTACTCCTCCTCCTGCCTCTGCTCCAGGTACTTCTTGGTACTTCCTTCCATGCTCCATCCAACCCATGCCCCTCCCGCTTATCCTTCCTCATCTTCCTTCTCCATGTAAGGAGGAGGGGCAAGAAGGAGGGGGAGTAATCGTAAGCATGACGGTGATGCCGAGGAGGGGAAGGAGGAGGCGGAGGAGGAGGAGGTCGAAGAGTAAGGGGTCGGGGGTGAGAAGGATGGTGATGATGGCGAGGACGAGGAGGTGGTGGTGGGGACGGAGAAGGACAACGACGACGACGAGGACGACGAGCCCGCCCCCTTCGCCAGCCTGATGCGGCCAGCCGCCATCCCGGGAGGCCGTCGTGCAGCCGCTGCCACGCCCGCCGTGCCTAGGCCACCGCCGACAGGCCTCGGACTTACGTCGGGCCTGCCCCTCTACAGGAGGAATGTTCAAGAAAAGTTAGAACATGGTATGGGGACGATTTTCTATTTTTTGACTAGTATTGGGCATTTTTGGCATATTTCTGATATTTCGTCCAGAATCCGCCTGCAGGAGGACATGGCCGACCTAAACTTGGGCCCGTCGCCCCGCCGTCGCCGGTCATCCCTGGGCCCGTGGGGATGCGCGACGGGCCCCGCAATTGTCCAGACCAGGTCGGGCGCCCCGCCGCCAGGCCGGGCGGCACACCGGCGCCACGCTTCGGGGGGGCACCTCCCCCCATCTCAAGCAGTGGCGAAGCGTCCTGGCTCGCATATAGGCCCACCAAAGAACGTTCTAAGAGCCTTTTGTGGTCTGCACGAACTGTTCTTAAAACATGTCTGGTGGTGTCTGTCTTGTTTTAACACATCGGGCCTATGGTCCAAGAACAGTGTTGCCTGTTCTTACAACCTTTTTGGGTTCTAAGAACATCTCGTGGTAGACCTGTAGGAATACCGGGACGGTCGGTCCCTGCTCAACCTCCCCCCACCCGTGGACCTGGCGCATCCAGTGGACCAGATGCAGTCCGAAGCAGCGCCCTTCCCCTCGAGGTCCCACGCCTCGCCAGGGGCGTGGCTGATCACGGGGTGGCTTGCCGCCCCGTCGCGTGCAGCCGGCAGGGGAGTACTGCGTACAGTCCACCCGCATAGGAAGAGTGCGCAACCTTCCCAGGGGTACCCTTGCACCCTTGCCTCCTCGGTCCATCCTTGGCCACTTTCGCTGGCCGCGCCCCGCCCGAAACGCTTCGAAGTGGGCGTCCGAGGCCCTCGCATCCTCATCGCGCATCCTCACGATACGGGCCAACTGTATCTCGTTCAAGCTACAGCAGAGGCGGAGTGAGTATATACATCCGAGTGTGCCTCTCCGAGGTCTCGTCCCCCAAATATCAAGGGAGGAAAAATCATCCGGACCCGACAATCGGCATTGACTAGACGGCCCTGGGCGTTTTACTCAACAGCCCTGCCCTGCTTGATTTCTTCTCTGGGTGCGTTTACTGAACGGCTTCGCGTGTTGGGGTGCTTATTTTTTGGGGTGAATGTTCTGCCCTTTAAAGCTCACCGAGCGCGTTCCACAACTCGCAAAGTGACAACTTGCAAACGTCTGAACAAAAACACATATCTGCTTCGACGTAAGTTATCCTAGATCCCCCGCGGCGGATCCAGGCCATTTCCGAGTAGTTATTTTTCAAGTAGTGGAACACGCTCGTCTCAAGACAAAACAGATCCACGCTGGCGCGCGCCCGAAGCTAGACGCTACAGGTGCCTCTTCCTCCTCTTCGCCGTCCTGAACGCGGCGCGCGCCCCGATTGCTCGCCCTGCCGCCCGCCCGCCGCCCCCTCCCGTCCCTGGCCGCCGGCGCCGCCCCTTCCCTGCCTCCTCCTCCTCCTCCTCCTCCTCCACTTCCTCCTCCTCCTACTCCTACTCCTCTTTCTCATCTTTCTCCTCCTCCTCCTCCTCCTCCTCCTCCTCTTTCTCCTCCTCCACCTCCTCCGCCTCCGCCTCCTCCTCCTCCTCCTCCTCCTCCTCCTCTTTGTCCTCCTCCTTCCCTTCTCCTCCTCCTCCTCCTCTTCTCCTCCTCCTCCTCCTCCCCCTCCTCCTCCTCCTCCTCCTCCTCCTCCTCCTCCTCCTCCTCGAGCTTTCGGGCGCTGTCCGAGGCCCCTCGCCAGCTGCGCCTTGTCGAGAGCACTCTGGGGGACGGCCGACTCGAGGGGTCCACGCGGACCTCGGACGTCTGGGCTGTGCCGCGCCGTGAGTCCTAGTTGAGGCTGTGCTGGGGTAGGCTTACTCGTCGCCTGCCTCTGGCTCTGTAGAGTGTGGGAGTGCATAGGCGAGCCCTCGTGGTCTTCCCTCTGGAGGGTCTCGCTTTTGCCTGTGGTATCCCCCTGCAGGGTCCCGTAGATTCTCGGGCCCCTCAAGTGGTTCTCGAACACCTGATCCGCTTTTGTTTTCCTCTGGCCCTGCGTGGCGCCGTAGGCTTGAGGCGTTCTGATTCATCGGATCATTGGTACTGCTCTGCTCTGCTCCTCCTCCTCCTCCTCCTCCTCCTCCTCCTCCTCCTCCTCCCCCTCCTCCTCCTCCTCCTCCTCCTCCTCCTCCTCCTCCTCCTCCTCCTCCTCCTCCTCGAGGGCAAAGGTCCACCTGCTTCGATGGCCACGCGCGGACGGGGGTAGGGGGATGGGGGAAGGCTTCTTAGAAGCACCCCTGCCTCTCAGAGGGCGCGGGCCTCGTCTAGATGTAGAGCCGGCGCCTTCTGAGAAGTAGTTTTTCCCCCTCCCCCTACCCCCTCGTGCGCGCCGCCAATTCGAGAAAGCCAATACCTCGGGCCTATGCTGAATACCGTTCTCGCTTTCTAGCCGCAAGCGTCCGTAGACGCATTGGGTGTCGTCGCGTATAGGGACACATTCGGGGGGGATGAGTCTACAGACGACGCGGCCGTTGCGTTCGGCGCAGTGCAGGGTCGGAGAAAGGGTATATCCGTCTACAGTATGCCTGCTCTGGAGCAGGTCCCACGTGGTTCAGGAGGGGGAAAAAAACACAGACACTATTGATCGTCGGCTCCCAGGAAAATATGGGAAAATCTGGGAAGTGGGGGGGGGGAACGAGAATCAAGGAACACATCATCAAAAATATGGGGAGTCCTTGGATTTGGGTGTGTGCGTGTGTTTCTTTGTGTGTCCCTGGGCCCCTTCAGTGCCACGTGGTGCTCCAGCACCCCGCTGCCCTCGGGCGCCGGCGCCGCCTCGGCTCGGTCCTCGGCGGGGGCGGCCTCGGGCGCGCGCGGGCAGTGATCAGAGGCAGCGTGAGCCGAAGAACAGCAGGTGCCATACGCATGGGCTTCTGCCACAAACATAAACGCAAGCATGAACTCTTCCGCCATAAGCATCAGCTGTTGCCATTTTGTTTTTTGCCTTAGAGTCGAAAAGCGGGGGAACAACACACACACACACACACACACACACACACACACACACACACACACACACACACACACACACACACACACACACACACACACACACACACACACACACACACACACACACACACACACACACACACACACACATCACACACACACACACACGCACACGCACACGCACACGCACACGCACACGCACACGCACACACACACACACACACACGCACACGCACACGCACACGCACACGCACACGCACACGCACACGCACACGCACACGCACACGCACACGCACACGCACACGCACACGCACACGCGCACACGCGCACACGCGCGCACACGCACACACACACACTCTCAAACATGAACCTTTGGCGCTCCGCGCCGATCCGATTTTCTTGGATCCACCCGGCAGCGCGCCTGCGGCGCCGCCCTGGCGCGCTCCGCGCGCCAGCGTGTGCGGCCCCCCCGGGAGGACGGCGTCGAGCCCAGTCGCCCATGCATCGCCGATACAGGATGAGGAGGAGGAGGAGGAGGAGGAGGAGGAGCCACATATTTTTCGTCAGGGTACCTTGAGTTTCTTCTCTCCGCGCGCTGCGCGGTGGCTTCCCGCAGCCATCAGAGGAGCCGCTGCGTGCCGGGTGCTCCGCGGTTTCCCCCCTCGCGCGCGGGTTTGCCGGGTTGGGTCTCTGGCGAGGGGTTCTTGCAGCCGCGCCCGCGCTGTAGCCCACCCCGCCCATAAGCGTGCGGTTTCGTGATCGGGGGCACATCGCCGATCAGTCAGCGATGCATCACCGATTCCAGGTCGATGTCTCCCCCCACCCTGAGCCAGTCCCCCCCCCTACCGCTCCCCCTCGTAATTAAGGCCGGCGACGACCTCGCCATGAAGCAGAGGGTCGCCGGAAAGCAAATGAGCTACGCAAACAAACACGGTGTCGTCTCCACCAACACTGGCGCGCAAGCTGCCCGCGTAAGGTCGCGCGTAAGCGCTTTCCTCTCCAACCTGGCGTGTCGCGCTGGCGGCCCGCGTAAGCCACCGTGTAAGGTCACTGTGTCATCTGGCGCACAGTCTGCACGCATCATGAGGATGCGCGGTAAGGGTGCAGGGGCCTCGGAAGGCCGCCATCTGACGACTCGAACGGGGTTGGCCAGCCCCGGGAGAGAATGAGAGGGGGCGGGCCTTCTCAGAAGGCTCGGAAGCCCCCCGGCTTCCTGAGAAGTTTTCTGAGCCTTCCCCGAAGACACCGAAAGCTTCTCATCTGAGAGGCCCCGCTGCCTGCCGAGAGGGCATTCTCCTTCTCACTTCCCCCCCTCGCTCGCAGCCGATGTGCTGTCCCGCTGACACGTGACAGCGAAACCCAGAACACGGCGAGCTTCGGACCCGATAATTAAGAGTGAGTTACGAAAGACGACGGGCCCCGCACCAGGCGAACTGTGTCAGCGAGAGGGCGACAGCGCTGGGCGGCCGCAGGGATGAAGCCAAGAAAGCAACAAAAACGAAAGCGACGCGCCCTCGGAGGAGTTCATATTGTTCAGGGAGCGAAATCGACAGCGAGCCGCTCCGAAAAGGTGTACAGTTTCGCTGTCGCGTGCCGCCGGGACAGTCAGGCCCGTGGTTCTCGTCGCTCGCATGAAGTCGGGCCTGTCCCTCTACAGGAGGAGTGCTCAGAAGTAGTCAAGAGATAAATAGTCAGGGCACGCTTTTTCGAGTATGTTTGAGCATATCTTGCATATTTGTTTTGCTGTGTTTTATTTTCCCCCAAACAGCTTGCTGAACGGGGTGCTGTTGTGATAGAAGCTAACTCCGGCCGAGGGAAGTCGGAGCAGAGACATCCTCACAAAAATTTGATGGTCTGGGCCGTTTCGCTTGAGACATCCTCACAACTCTCTTTTCTGAGTTGGCCGGGATTGGCCGTTTCGCCTGAGACATCCTCGAAAAGTTGCGCTCCGGGACGCCGCGCGAGAGGTGGTCCGGGCCGTTTCGCTTGAGACATCCTCGAAACTCTGAGCCCCGAGGTGCCGCGCGAGAGGTGGTCCGGGCCGTCTCGCCTGAGACATCCTCGCAACTCTGAGCTCTGAGATGCCGTGCGCAAGGTGGTCCGGCCTGTTTCGCACAAGACATTCTCGCAACTCTGAGCTCCCAGATGCTGCGCAAGAGGTGGTCCAGCCTGGGGGCCCAGAAGACCACATGTTACATATCCTCCCTGGGACCCTGGGAGCCCGCCTGAGACATCCTCGAACTTCTGAGTTCTGAGATGCCCTGCGCGAGGTGGTCCGGCCCGTCTCGCCTGAGACATCCTCGCAACTCTGAGCTCTGAGATGCCGTGCGCAAGGTGGTCCGGCCTGTTTCGCACAAGACATTCTCGCAACTCTGAGCTCTCAGATGCCGCGCAAGAGGTGGTCCAGCCTGGGTGCCCAGAAGACCACATGCTACATATCCTCCCTGGGAGCCCCAGGAGGCCCCAGAGAGCTCCAGGTTGCCGCAGGACGCCCAGGACAGGCCCCCAGGGGTCAGCAGGAGATTCCCGGGAGGCTCCCAGGAGGCCCCAGGAGGCCACCTATCAGAACGTGTCAAGTTAATACACATCCAGTGTCGATTCGTTGATTTTTTTCTGCTCTTGTGGCCCCCCGACGGCCCCCCGTTCCCATTTTGGGGGGCCCCCGACGGCCACATGTTAGATTTCCCCCCTGGGAGCCCCACGAGGCTTGAGGAAGCCCCAGGTGGGGTCCAGGAGATAGAGAGAGAGAGAGAGAGAGAGAGAGAGACACTCCCGCGGTCGCAGGTCGCCCCCTCGGGGGCCGCCGCGCCCGAGCGCCCGCGGCCGCGGGCACTCAGCGCGGGAGCCAGCGGCGCCGCCAGCTCGGCGCCGCCTGCGTCTCGTCGGGCGCTGCCCGCAGCCGCTGCGGCCTAACCCCTCGCCACGCAGGGGGTAAGGCTGCTGGGGCGGCTCGCCCCAGCCGCCTCCGCGCCGCCCCTGGGAAACACCTCCAGGGCCACAGGCGCCGTGCAGGGAGTACTCCGCGTAGTACCCCACGTAGTAGCGTCAGCAGCTCCCTGCGTCTCGTCGGGCGCTGCCCACGTCCGCTGCGGCCTAACCCCTCGCCGCGCAGGGGAAAGGCGGCTAGGGCAGATCGCCCCAGCCGCCTCCGCGCCGCCCCTGGGTGACACATCCAGGGCCACAGGCGCTGTGCAGGGAGTACTCCGCGTAGTACCCCTCGTCGTGACGCCAGCATCTCCCTGTGTCTCGTGGGGCGCTGCCAGACGCCACCGCGGCCTAACCCCTCGCCGCGCAGGGGACATGCGGTTAGGGCAGTGCGCCCCAGCCGTCTCCGCGCCGCCCCTGGGAGACACATCCAGGGCCACAGACGCTGTGCA